ATGAGGAAGTGGCACCGTGAACCTACTGCTGTATTATGAGCACGGGTGAGAGAATTACAAAGCAGATCAACCACCAGTGCAGTTGCTCCAGTTACCACAGGTAATGAATAAAGGGGCCCTGCCCTCAGTCGGGGGGGGAAAGGGATAATAGAGTATATTGGACTGTGTGGATTCGATGGCCTGGCACATCAGAACCACTGAAATATAAGGCACTGGTGGACACTGGTGCACAGTGCACTCTGATGCCCTCGAGTCATGAAGGGACAGAATCAATCCATATTTCTGGAGTGACCGGGGGCTCTCAAGAGCTGACTGTGTTGGAGGCTGACATAAGCCTCACTGGTAAGGACTGGCAAAAACATCCTATTGTGACGGGCCCAGGGGCTCCATGTATACTAGGTATTGATTATCTCAGAAAGGGGCATTTCAAGGATCCTAAGGGGTATCTATGGGCCTTTGGAATAGCTGCTGTGGACACAGACAACATTAAGCAGCTGTCTGTTTTGCCTGGCCTGTCAGAAGATCTGTCTGTTGTGGGGCTGCTGCGAGTAAAAGAACAACAGGTACCAATTGCTACAAAAACGGTGCACAGGCATCAGTATTGCACTAACAGGGATTCTTTGCTCCCCATTCATAAGTTAATTTGTCAACTAGAGAGCCAGGGAGTGATCAGCAAAACTCACTCGCCTTTTAACAGCCCCATATGGCCAGTGCGTAAAGCCAGTGGAGAATGGAGGCTGACGGTGGACTACCGTGGCCTGAATGAAGTGACACCCCCACTGAGTGCTGCTATGCCAGACATGTTAGAACTCCAGTAGGAACTGGAGTCAAAAGCAGTCAAATGGTATGCCACCATTGACATTGCTAATGCCTTCTTTTCCATTCTTTTGGCCAAAGAATGTAAGCCACAGTTTGCTTTCACATGGAGGGGCATTCAGTATACCTCGAACCGTCTGCCCCAGGGGTGGAAACACAGCCCGACCATTTGCCATGGGTTGATCCAAACTGTATTGGAACAGGGCAGTGCTCCTGAGTACCTGCAGTACATTGATGATATCATTGTGTGGGGCGATACAGCAGAAGAAGTCTTTACAAAAGGAGAGCAAATAATCCAGATCCTTCTCCGTGCTGGTTTTGCTATTAAGCGAAGCAAAGTGAAAGGACCTGCCCAGGAGATTCAGTTCCTAGGCATAAAGTGGCAAGATGGCCGTCGTCACATCCCGACAGGTGTGATCGACAAAATCACTGCTATGTCTCCACCCACTAGCAAAAGAGAGACACAATCTTTTCTGGGTGCAGTGGGCTTTTGGAGAATGCATGTTCCAAACTACAGCCTCATTGTAAGCCCCCTTCATCATATGATGCGAATGAGAAATGAGTTTACATGGGGCCCTGAGCAGCAGCAGGCTTTTGAACAGCTTAAACAGGAGATAGCCCGTGCCATGGCCCTAGGGCCAGTACGGATGGGACAGGGTATAAAGAACATCCTCTATACTGCTGCTGGAGAGAACGGTCCCACTTGGAGTTTGTGGCAAAGAGCCTCAGGAGAGACCCGAGGCCGACCCCTGGGATTCTGGAGTCGAGCCTACAGGGGGTCAGAAGAGGGCTACACTCCAATTGAGAAGGAGATCTTAGCCGTGTATGAGGGGGTTCGGGCTGCTTCTGAAGTAGTCGGTATTGAAACACAGCTCCTTCTGGCACCTTGACTGCCAGTGCTGAACTGGATGTTCAAGGGAAAGGTTCCCTCCACCCATCATGCTACTGATGCCACTTGGAGTAAGTGGATTGCGTTGATTACACAGCGAGCGCGGATGGGGAACCTCAGCCGTCCAGGAATCCTAGAGGTCATCATGGACTGGCCTGAAGGTAGAAAGTTTGAAACACCATCAGGAGAAGAAGTATCTCATGCTAAAGAAGCCCCACCATACAATGAACTACCAGAGAATGAAAAGAAATATGCCCTGTTCACAGATGGATCGTGTCGTATTGTGGGAAAGCATCACAGATGGAAAGCTGCTGTGTGGAGCCCCACACGACAAGTTGCAGAGGCCACTAAAGGGAAAGGCGAATCAAGCCAATTTGCAGAGGTAAAGGCTGTCCAACTGGCCTTAGATGTTGCTGAATGGGAGAGGTGGCCAATGCTCTGTCTTTACACTGACTCATGGATGGTGGCAAATGCCTTATGGGGGTGGTTACAGCAGTGGGAGCAAAATAACTGGGAAAGAAGGGGTAAACCTATTTGGGCTGCTGAACTGTGGAAAGACATTGCTGCCCGAACAAAGAATATGGTTGTGAAGGTGTGCCATGTAGATGCTCATGTGCCCAAGAGTCGGGCTACTGAAGAACAGCAAAATAACCATCAGGTAGATTGAGCTGCCAGATTTGAAGTGGCTCAAATAGACCTGGACTGGCAGAACAAGGGTGAATTATTTCTGGCTCGGTGGGCCCATGAGACCTCAGGTCAAGGGAGAGATGCAACATACAAATGGGCTAGAGACCGAGGGGTGGACTTAACTATGGATGCCATTGCACAGGTTATTCATAACTGTGAAACATGTGCCATCATCAAACAAGCCAAGAGGATGAAACCTCTCTGGGAGGAAGGGCAATGGCAAAATTATAAATATGGGGAGGCATGGCAGGTTGATTATATCACCTTGCCACGATCTCGCAATGGTAAGCATTATGTGCTTACTATGGTGGAGGCAACCACTGGGTGGCTTGAAACATATGCAGTACCCCATGCTACTGCACGAAACACCGTACTGGGTCTCGAGAAACAAGTCCTGTGGCGACATGGCACCCCAGAAAGGATTGAGTCAGATAATGAGACTCATTTCAAAAATTCTGTTGTAAATACTTGGGCCAAAGATCATGGCATCGAGTGGATTTACCATATTCCCTATCATGCACCAGCCTCTGGTAAAATTGAACGATACAGTGGATTGTTAAAAGCAATGCTAAAAGCACTGGGTGGCGGAACATTTAAGCACTGGGAGAAGCATTTGGCAGAAGCCACCTGGTTAGTCAATACCAGAGGATCTATCAATCGTGATGGTCCTAACCAATCCAGTTCCCTACATACCGTAGAGGGAGATAAAGTCCCTGTTGTACATGTAAAGAACATGTTAGGAAAGGCAGTTTGGGTTCTTCCAGCTTCTGGAAAGGGCAAACCTCTCTGTCGTACAGTTTTTGCCCAGGGACCAGGATCCACCTGGTGGGTAATGCAGAAGAATGGGGATGTCCATTGTGTACCACAAGGAAACATGATGCTGGGGGAGTGCAGTTAGTAATTCCATGTATATGTATATAGCCATATGTGTGTAGTGCATTTTAATCATTTTTTGTTTGTTTGTATATATGTATATATATATTAAGCATGATGTAACGATGTAGAATAAGGGGTGGAATGTCATGGTTCTATGTTTTTTTTGTTTTTGGGTTTCAGTATTCCACATCAAAACATCATGTAGTGTACGGGGCATTAAAGTGTCACTGCCCCAATTCCAAGTACCTATCCCTGTACATTACAGCAGTCATAGGATCTGGCCCTTCCGGGTGGGGGGGGCGCTCTCTTGCTGCCTTGCAGTGGGTGCTGGAGGTGCTTTCCTGGCCGTTCCAAGCTTTTCAGGTTTGACTCAGTCCCGGGAACTCTCTCTCTCTCATCTTGTCTGATTTATTAATCTCAATTTCAATTAAATTGTATATATTGTGTTATCTTGTATTCCTATATTATAGTAAAATAAGTTTTCCTCCATAGATTGTTGCCACTGCTCTTTTCCTCCCTTCCTTCCTTCCTTCCCATTTTTTGTGGGACTGGGGTGCGGGAGGAGGACAGAGGCCTGTTGCCCCTGTCACGGACATAGATTGATCTAGTCAACTCCGTGACAAAAGCAAACACAAAAACTTTAACAGCATGCATTCTAAAATAAGTAAATGATTTCAGCTTTTGTTTAATGCAGAGGAGTTATTTGCGAACTCAAGTACTGGTTTCTAAAAAGTACAAGCCATACTGCAAATCCTAGAATCAAAATACTTTATGGTTGTAAATGCATGTTTAATATAACAAAAATAATAAAAGCATATCTATTTCCAGACCTGTAATGTCTAACAGTGGCTTCACTGCGGATTGATTATTCTTGAATAGCAGCTGAATGCTATAGAAATTAACATCCCTTTAGCTGTTAAATAGAATCATAGCATTGCTCACATTGGAAAAGATCTTCAAGACCATCAAGTACAACCACAACCTAACCACGCTACCCTACAGTACAAGCCTTTATAGTTTTGTAAGAGCAATTCTGTATGGGGTTTTCTCCATTTTCAGGTGAACTTCCAAATTTATGAAAAAGGAAGATGACAATGTTAATCTGAAATGAAGTAATTTGTAATCTTTTAATATCTTCTGCTTAAAAGCTTAAATATTTATTTCAGGTAATTTATTTGTGACATTGACAGGATGAGTACTCAAATCTTTTTTTTTTTTCTGCTTTATTTCACAAATGTCTACAGCATGTAATCTTCAAAGTTTCTTGCGATGTTCACACTCAGATGAGACATGCAAATAGTACACATCAATATCGTGTTGTAGCTTGGAATTATTCTGAGTTACTAAGTTAATTTACCCTTCCTACTGATGTAGAAACTAGAAAATTTTGCAAAATGAGGAATTAAAAACATTTTCAGTGGTTAATTAATATGAACACTTGCAGAAATTCTTTGCCACCCTATACAAAAATGGTTAGTGTTAAATTGCATGATGAATCAATGTCAAATTACTTATATATTTTACAGTTTGCAGAAAGCTGTTATTCCTGGTAAAATTTTCAGTAGATTTACAGAGCAATATAGGCTGGTATGTATTCCAACCAAACTGGCAGGAAAACAAGTAAGAATCAAAATATTAAATTGTAAAATACGCTTGTACTGCTGTACCAGATGCTTTGATATTTTGGCCATACAATTCTTTTTACATTCCTCTGTCATGTGTTTATTTACAGGGACCACTACAAAACAGAATTTGAGAAGAGATTGCATGAGGAATTGGAACAAATAAGACTGAAAACAAATCAAGAAATTGAGCAACTTCGAAGTGCTTCGAAAGAGATGTATGAGCGTGAAAACAGGTAGATAAGATGTGGCAATAACAAAATTAGGGCAGAAATTTGCAAGTAGTATTTTTGTGCTAAGGCATAGTCAAAGTTGACGAATATTAAGTTAGAAATGAATTTGTTTTAAAATTGATGTGAATCTTGTAAATGTTAACAAGAAATGATTTTTATGTTAACGATACTGTTATGTTAATCATGAATATTTATTATAAACAGATTTACACTGACAGCATCAATTAAAATAGCTATTAAAATTCTTCTCCATAAATATTAGTAGTTTGAAGTTTATTCAGCTGTGTAATGTTAACTAATTCATGCAAAATGTGTTGATTTTTTTTTTTTTTTTTTTTTTTGTCATGGTCTGGTCTTGAAACCAGAAGGAAGGTATTGATGTAGAAAGTAATGCAGGAAAAAATGAGAGAAATGAATAAGGCATCTTCTAAACATCAGTCTTTGACTTACAGCATTTTCGTTCACAAAAGCATTATTTTCTTGTAGAGTATTATAAAAGTGTCTTTTGAAGAATATCCTAGTCCTACAAAGACCTACAGGCTAAATTTTCTAAACGTCTTTTCTTGTTAAATATCATGGAATTATGAGCAATATTAGGCATATATAAGTCTTCAGGGATCCCCATAGAGATTTAGACTACTTTTAGTATGTTTCTTAGCTTGTTTTTTGACACTATTCTTCCCTTAAAATGGGAAGAGCACTGAACAATTCTTGTAAACTCATCATAGATGTCCTGAAAGTGCCTTGTGTGGAGGAGGAAATGACTAGAGTAAAAAGATATTTGTAGCATCAGCATCTGTTCTTCTAATAGGCAGCTTTGCTATTGCTCTGAAGTGTATAAAAAGAACGTGACTCTTGCTGTCTGTCTTCTAGCCAACTGAAGGTTTTAATTAAAAATATTACATCACTGTGTACTTTTGCAAGTGTTAGTAAAATTTATATATAACAAACACACACATCCACGCCACTTCCTGTATTCAAATCTATGTTCAGTTACAAAGAGTGATTTGACAGTTTGTGGAGACTTGATGAGGGTCTGTACATCACTGAGAAAGCTATCAAAAGTTATTTTGTTTGCATCTGGAATAAATTTGTGGAAGCTTTTTTCCTCACTTTGAAATAATTACTTTTGAAATGTAAGTCCCTAAGATTTTATTTCATATTTTGCAGGAAAAATGATTTTTGGTTTGTGATCTTTCTATAAAATAATTAAAAATTCTATCATAAGATGGTGCTTTTCTGTCTGAAGTTCCCTTCAGTGGTGGGACAGATGGAAGCCTAAATGGGAAGCAGAGCAATTTGTAGTGAAGTTGTGTGATGTGATGAGATGCTGACTGACTGTGACTGAAAATAAGATGCTGATTTTATCCTCAAGCTGAAAGCATGGAGCTAATATAATACTTCGCTCTTCTTACTCCTTCCTACCTGCTGAGCCTGACAGAACTGATGTTTCCCTTGAATTTATTGATAGTTGTTTTACACTTGGATGAGTTAGTTTAAGAAGCTAAAATAAGGGGTAAGGAGGAGGGGAATCCTATTAAAGGATGATACTTAGAGCCTTAACTTATTTGGGATCAGTTCCATTTGTTCAGTTGCAGTCATCATTGGTGATGTTTGCATTAGCAAGCACAAATGAATTCACAGAGCCCTGGATTAGCCACGTAAGGTTTTATTCTGGATTAGCTGTAGTCTGTTCCTGTAGGTCAAACACAGTTAAATGGTTTTGAGCATGTTAGATGCCCTCTGTGAGCAGATCTTCAGTCTTACTAGAATCCAATTTATGCACTCTAGCATAGTTTTGGGGTGAGAAGTGCAATACAATGGCAATTGTTAGTTTGAACCAAGTTTCCTGGTTGTCTCCAGTTAACCAGCTTGTGTCGAAATCATGTCAGTGTTTGCTAGCTGAGTTCCTTTTTGAGAATCCAAATAATGCACTCTGAACACTCTGAACACTAAAAGGCATTCAGCCTTGAGCCTCGTCAGCTCAAACCAGCCCAACTTTGCTTCAGAAGATTCAAAACCTCTTTTTTCTAATTTACCAGACCTGTTCAAGAATATGTAGGTAGTAGTCCTGTCCAGTTTTAGAGATTTTCACTTGTATGATAGGCTTGCCATATACATGATGTTCAATGTGGCCTGTATGTATAGCAATCAGATGTTTTACCTTTTTTAAAAACATGCTCATTATCTGTAAACTGGCAGTGTCACTAATGTGTTTCCTAGCTCTATTGCAAATATTTCAACAGAAGTTGCATCACATCTGTGATTGCCATCATGTTGCTTAGTAGTACTTTACTCATGCTGGTTTTTCTCTGTATAATTTTCATTTCCTTAAATTAACGGTTAAGCAAAATAGTGTATTCTCTAGTTGCTGTTGTTGTAGTTGCTCTAGTAGTGACTGTACATCTACCATTTAATTATCATCCACTTCTCTTCCTTTAGTCTTAAGATTGCAACTTTGTGTTTTGCACTAAGACTTAATATGGTCAACCTCACTGTTGTTAAGAGAATTAACTGCCATATTCTTACAGTTTGTCAAGAACCAGTTTAAATAGTGTACTCTCAAGATGAATTGCTGAATTTCATTGGTAAATTTTGCAGCCTAATAATTCTATTTTTAAGGTAGATTTTGTTATCATTCTCTCATCCATAAACAGGATTCCTTTTTTATGAAGCCAAACTGAAAGGAATCTCTAAGGACATCTAATACATTCAGAGTGCCAGAGGGTGTTCACATCACTGGAGCAAACTGTAGATATCTTCAAGTAAAATCCTTGAAAATGTTCATAATATAGATCAGACCTTCAGCAACAACTGTTCTGTGGTTATTGCTGTATCACAATACTTAATAATAAAAATACAGCTTATAAGCACTAAGTGCCATTTATAAAGTGGCAATAAACTGTAATACTACTGTTAATACCTATATCGTTTTTAACATAAGAGTTATATTTATTATTCTTAGTTCGTGTGATACTGTTCTGGTATGTATAGATGAAGTAGAAGTGAGCTAGTTTGCAAGTTTCAACAACAGCAAAAGGCAGACAGAAACACCAACAATATGTAATAACCGATATGACTGACTATCGAATTAGTTGTGTATGGAAGTAGGGTTTCTATGCTCAGCTAATCTTCCTGCTGTATCACAAAAGTTTTGAATCATGTCACTTAGGAGGACAACATAGATTTAGTGAAGTACCAAGTGTAAATGCAAATACGTATATACATGTATAAATACATTCCAATTACTGCAATGCATTTAATTCTCAGGAAAAAACAGAACAAAACAAAAAAACTAATTTGTAGTTCTTGTATTCTGAATTATTCATGGGTTTCTGCATAAAAATAGGAACTTTGATCATTGTTTTTAGAATTTTAGAATGAGAAATTTTGTTGATAAGAATGAAATATAATGAATAGGCATATAGACAGATGTCTTTCTATTGCTCTATTAAAATTGAATTAGGTAGTATTAAAGTTAAGATCAGTCATTAGTAATCTATAAAATGAAATAGTCTAACCAAATATTGACACAATTGCTTCTGTTTCCTTCAGAAATTTGAGAGAAGCAAGAGATAATGCTGTTGCTGAAAAAGAGAGAGCTGTTACTGCTGAAAGAGATGCTTTAAGAAAGTATGACCAACTCTTAGAACAGTAAGTATCTTTTAAAAATGAAAATAAATCTTAAAATGCAAGTACATTTATACTCAAAGTTTTAAGGAAGAGGAATGACCCGTGTGGCTTTCTGCTTACAAAGAATAATTTGAATTACAAGAATTTTGTTTAAATGAAGTTACAGATTTAATTCTAGTAGGTTGTTTTTTGTTTGTTTGTTTGTTTGTTTTCCCATTACCAGCATGGTAACAATGTGGACATTTGATTCTTCTCTCACAATCCTGTAAAGACAGGCAGCCGTCATTATGCCTCTCACAGAAAAGGTGTATTTCATGCTGTGCCATAGAAGTGCTTAAACTCTGAACTTCTTTATTTTTTTTTCTGGTTGAAGATGTAAAGTTATCTATTATGATGACTTTTTCTAAAGTGTGGATAAAGAGCAACAGTCATGAACTGTTATGCTTATTACATGCTTCTTACTGTTCTCTTTCCTCCCTCTTTCATATTCAATATGTAAAGCACAGTATCTATATGAAGCTACAATTCCGTTCATATTGATAGGGGAAAACTGTTATTCTCTGCTGATTCACAAGCAGTTTGCTATCTTGCTTTGCAGCACCTTCTCTTTTTGCAAATTTAGAATATTAGATATGGTAAATAATGGGCTAATTTAAAACTACTGACCATAATCAAAGCTGTTCAGGGTAAGTTCATCATATGTGCTTAATCTTCGCGCTTGATTTGTTGTCAACATCTTTGTTCCATAAAGAAAAGCACAGTACTTTAACCAGCTATGCCACTCAGTCATCTTGTTAAAGGAAGTACTTGATGTAAACTTGTTTGCTTGGAGATGTTTTTAGCTGTGCTTAATAATCTGTTAATTAACAATAAAATGTTAATTTAAGGATAGGCACAAATTATTTAAAAACCTTTTTTTAATGCATAACTACATTACAGGGATAATACTAGTGAAGGATCTACATTGCCCCAGGATCACTCATGTGATGTGTCTTTTTTTTTTTTTTTTTTTTGCTATTTGTCATCATCTTGGTTAATACACTTGTGCTTCCATCCTACTATAATTTTTTCCATAAATAAGTATTCAAATAAAACTCCTATTTCCACTCTTAAAATGTTGATTAGTACAATTTTGGGAGTTCAAAGCAACAGGTTACTCCCCAGATGATTATGGTTGGTTTTTTTTTTAAAATCTGTTTAGGAAAATGAAAAGGCCATATTTCACATCTTTAAAATAAAGGCATAGCTTTAAAAATACCACTCTTCCAAGACCGTAGAGTTGTCAAGACTGTGACTTTCTCCACATTCCAAATAATTTATCAAAATTGTACTGCAAAATAATAAATTCACATAATAAGATGGAATGAAAAATTCCAACGTCTGAGTTTACAGTTCTATAGAACAAAGAAATTTTCTAACATAACCAGAACATCCACGAATAAAAAAGGAATACTTGTGTTGTCCATTATTGTATTTAAGTGAATATAACAGTTAGCTCTGCTTTATTGAAAACAAGTTGACTCATCGTAGTTTCCACTGGTATCATAATCTATATAAGCAAACATGTTTGAAAGCTTCAGGATTATGTGGAATGTTGACTGGCCTGAATTCTGGTTAAATTAAGCCCCTGGCAAATCTTGTGATCAGAAGTGTAACTAATGCCCAATTTACTAGTCAGGTGCAGTTATTTCCATTTTGCTTACTGATATAAGCAATAATAATAATAAAAAAAAGCAATAGCTTTTTGTAAATAGCTGCTTACAAATGCTGATAAAGTATTTAATGATAGTATTTGTGGAAGGCTATATTGATAAAGAATCTGCTGTTTCTACCTCAGAGTAGATCACTGTGATGTTAGGATGTAGTATTTGTTTCTTCTTTGATACTATACAGTTGTGAATTCTGTGTGAGAATATGCTTCATTTACCTCCAGTGAAATTAAAAAATCAATATTTTGGATTAAATTGCTGTCAATGTTAAACCTTGAAGGAAATTGATGACCAAATAGAAATGTTTTCATTTTGCTTCAAGTTGCTGATATTATTACTGTTTCTAATTTTAAAGCTATATTAACTCAAGTAACTCAATTGAATGTTTTGAGGTTGAATGGAGAGGGTCACTTCATAATACTTCCATCTTCTACTGCAAGGCTAAGTCGCAATACTAAATGTATGCCAACTTTTTCTTAGTTTGAATATTTCTTAAGTATTATTTTCAAAATAATGGCCATTAATCTCCTTACCAGAAAGCAAGCCAACAGAAAACTCCTTTGATTATTCACTTTGTTTAAACCTTGAGGAGTATAATTTCTTCTTCCAGAACTGTAGCTCAGCTTTATCTGTGTATCTGTGGAAACTGGTTTTATAAAAAAAAATCAGAAATATTGGGAATAGCAAGGAAACACCTATACAGTATACAGGTGTTTTTGGTTATATTTTGTTTTCTTGTGTTTTTTTTTTAATAAAATCTTTTTTTAGTGATCAAACAAGAAAATCTCAACTCTTCTTCAGTTAGTTTATTGCTGCTCATGGGATGTACTTGAAGTGATTTTTCTTGTTTTGTGTTTGGACTCATAAAATGAGATGTGCTGAAGATTGGTAATAGTTAAATACTAGTAGGAGAAGAAATACAATGTTCGCAGACATTTTTCTTCATCAAAATACACATTTTTGTCCATAGTTGAGGACAGTATTACCAGGCTACATAGACTTATTTTCTGATACACTGCAGCTACTCGATGTAAAACTGAACAGAAGCTGTAAAATACTGGGAATTTTCTTACTGTTTATTGTATGTGCTTTGTATCCCTTTAAAAACCTTGAATAAGAAATGTAAATATGTACCATGAAATCAGCTGTCTCACTCACCACAATTTTCAGGCACTCACTTAACTATTACAGTTTTCTAGTATTTTAGCTCGTGATATGACAATTCTGTTGTATTATCCAACTTATTCAGCCTCTTTTCATCATTGTCTTCGGTGAACTACCTACTACTGTTTATTTATTTTTTTATCTTAGCATTAAGTTTCAACGTTATTTAAACTATAGCATTCTGACTGTAAAATCTGTTATTGTAGCCATCACGTTTAGATTATCATTTCATCTTTCAAAATTCTGTTGCTGCATGGCATGTAATGTATAATACAAGTAGTACGGGATAAGGCCTGAAACAGATCTGGTAGCTTTAAAGCACAAAGGACATCGAAATCTAAATTAGGAATTAAAATCATTCTGTAAGTGTTTTTCCTCTGGGCGTATTTTCAGGAAGCTGTCTTCCGTGTAACATTCAAAACATTTTGACAGAACCCTAACTAAAGTTGAGGGTGAACCAGACCATTATGATACACACTTCTTCAATCTTAGTATCTCAATAACAATAAACGTTTTAGAATCAAGTGGGTAAATTCGGAATCTGATCACCTTCCTCTTAATTGGATAACTGGTAAAGAACAGTTTGTCTAACTAGGTGTTTATATGGTGGTCTGAGAAGGGAGTTAAAGCCTCATCATCTTGCGGACCTCCTAGTAAACCCATGGGAAACTCCCCAGAATATTAGACGTAGAGACTAACATTTATCTCAACTTTGGGCAGAGCTTGTCATCCACAGAGTCAAATTCAAACTGTTGAGAAAGAGGTATAAATGGGAAGCTAACTGCTACTCTTAGCCTGCTCCTCACTTGTTGGTAGTGACACCTGTTTGATGCAAGTAACACTCAACAATATGAAAAACACTAGCACATTGTTATATAGTGGAGGATAGCTAGTCTGTTTGATGAGTATTCTGTAAACGAGGAACCATCATGCTTGTGTTCATGAATGCTACCAAAACAATATACCTCTTTGAGCCAAGGTATTTTGAGCCAAGCCATGAGCTACCAGGAGCTGTTTGCCTTTGACAGTAGTCTATCCAGTATTGGGATACCCCTAACTGATGATAATTATATTGAAGACTTACCAAAGAAAAGGGACAATATGGTATTTACAGGTGGTATTTACAACTGATGAAACCATCATGAGAGTCTTTGTCATCCTGTGTGATGTTTGCTCTCTCTGTGAGATCAATCTGTCTGTTGACCAGGAGGAGAATAGGAAAATCAGGGCTGAAGAACTGACTTCCTTTTTGCATGATCTTATTTCTAGCTATTATTTCCTTTGGTCAGGGTTGGCTCAGAGTTGTTTACATTCAGGGACCAGCAATTTTTTTTTGAAACTATATGCCATCAACACTGAAATATTGCATCGCATACTAGACATTGAGATGTCTGTGTCCTTTAGCTTACGCTGAGGAAAGCTGCTTAAATACTTTCTGTTTTTTTAGCTAAATAAGCTGGTGGCACAGTAATGCCTACTTATGTGACTATCTGGTTAACCATAAGAATATTCTGTGAAGCAACTAAAATGAATGCGCAATTAATGTTTAATGCATAGTTAACCAGAGTTTAATTTCTTGCTAAGCAATAACTTGGTCTGTGGGATCCTTGTGACATGTTAGCAGAATTTTTAGCAAATAGTATGTAGCAGTATTGGCACTTAGATGTACTGTGATGTTTGAGTCCTGGGGATACCAGAATGGGGTGGTACTAGTTTGAGATATTTATGATATCAGTGAGTGTACAGTTGTGAAGTGTTTTTTTACATCTAAAAAAAAAAAAGTTACTTACAAGCCAAAGTTCAGCCAGACTTAATTGAGATGGGATTATTTATTCAGAATGGGGCTCTGAGAGCAGCACTAAATTAAAGTGGGGAGGTTGCGCTGCTGGTGGTGATTAGTGAGAGGATTTGTAATTCCAGAGAAAAGGTGTGGTGCGAGGAATTGAACAAATCTACCAGAGGTAGTATGGAAGGGTACATCTGATAGAGTTGTAGGCAGATTTTCAAACAAAAAACTTCTTTTGTAGATCTCCATAGTGCTAGGTAAAATTCTTAGATATTGCTCATGTGAACATATGTTGTCCACTCCTTTCATATTACCTCTGCTTGTTAGCAAGTTTTTGTAATTGAAATGAAGCTGATGATGAT